ATTATAATTAATTATAATATTGAAGATATGTTAATATTGTAATGGCAACATTAAAGTAATAAAGGTAGATTTCGAATTACAGAGCGTAATGCATTTCAGTGGCACACAATGCCGATGGGTGCTAATGCCTAATTGAAACGTGAATTAGTTTTCTATTGCAACAGTAGAGTGCGCTAAGTGCTAAACATATAGATTACCTGCTTATTTAAGTGATTCGATCAAGCAATTGCAATATTGACAAAAGTATAGGTCTGTTATAAAAACTTATTTTCAGTTTTATTTTTTATATGAAAATGTATTAAAACATTATGTAAAGAATATAAAAAATAGTAATTTTTTATTCTATACATTTAACCTTGAGCATTATGCCGCATAATGCGCCCTGGTGCTGTATTTGGAAAACTACGAAAGACTTACACTGTACATACCTTAAGAAAATATTTTATTCGTTTGTAATAAATTCTGTAATATTTGTTATTTCGAAATCGATTGAAAATAATGAAACAGATTTTATGCTTGAAAGTAACATTAACGACTTTTCCATAACAATAACAATTATGTTTCTGTATGGATACATATAAATCCTCTTTTGTATATCAATAAATAACACCGTTTTTTTTTTTTTTTTTTTCATTTTGTTTTTGTTCAATAGGGGTTAAATACAAAAACATTTATTCATTAAAACAAAACTTTTTAATTCCATAATATTAATAATACTTGTTACATATACATATTTTTAGATATAAAATAAAGTCGTTGAATTACACTATTTATAACTCAAGAATGGCTGTACAGGTTTGGTCGAAAATTGGTTGAAAGATAGCTTAGAATCAGGATAAAAAAATTAAACACTTTTCAACAGGATCAAAGAAGAAAACCTCAGTTGACAAAATCCGAAATGACAGACAGATCCGAACAGACATTTCTTATTTACTGTCTTTTTTGAGTAATAAAGTTCGCTCAGTTAGCTATACATTACTACATATTTCTGGATCTAACACAGACGAAGTCGCGGGTAAATACTAGTTTTACATATGAACCCATAACATTATGAATCATCGGTGTAGAAACGTAACTACTCCTATGAAACACCTCGAGTGTGTGGATGTTCAACGCGTGGAAAGGATTTACAAAACGCTCAGACATCCATACTAACAAAGGACCCGAAATAATCTTTACACTCATGTGGATACGCGTAAATATGTAGGATTACGTACGCATTCAATAATTTGTAGTGTTATATTATGAAGGACATATTAATATGAAAGTAAAATATGTACTTTCTTTATAAATATTTTATTTCAAATCTCGACATTTTCACTCATTAATGAATGGAGTATTCCATTATAAACAAATAAGGTTAACTAAAGTCAAACGCAGTCTGTTTCTTTTTGAAACTTAGACAACAACTTACAACTGATCGATAAAAACACAATAACTTATAAAAATATATCATACTTATTTAATTAATTTACATTGGCTTTTTTAAATTAAAGGTTTATTTTATTCTACATTGGCTTCATTTTTTTTATGCTATGGTTTCATTAGCACTGGAATCGGCGAATATATTGCCAGTCAGCATTTCTTTTGTGGAACAAATTAATAATATTATCTTGAATACTGTGTGGAGGAGTTTCCCGAATGCCATAATGGCGTTTATTTATTTTTACATATTTTTTTAAGGAAAACTCTAGTTATATTGATAATCTTATTAGTCTGTGATTATTAATATTTAAGACAATATCTATAGGATCTTACACAGTGCCATCTACAAGAAAAAAAGACGTAATAATATTTACTTTTATAATTGTGATTAAAATGACAAATCTTTTCAAATTTTCTTTATTTTAAAAAATATTTAAAGCGAATAAGTATAAGATGAGTAGGTAAATGCATAACAATGATTTTAATCTTAGCCTACCAAACCATACTGCTATTTTAGTTAAGTGGTTTAGTAATTAATGCGGACAGTTTCCGTGAGATGACGCTTTTAACAAAGTGTTTTAAGAAATAAAATGGATGAATTCAAATTAAAATAAATGTTTATCATTCTAATTGTCTTTCTTTTTAAAATAAAAAACCCATGTTCAAAAAAAGAAATTTTTCTTCATTAAATGGATTCACCGTGTGGATGCGTATCCATTGCGATATTAAAGAATAAAATTTGAAAAAAAAAGCTATTTTTTGATCGGTTTTAATATCGATTAGGTGTTCATTCGTCTAATTACTAATTAATGTAAAATTTTAAATACAATATCTGTTCCATTACTTACGAAATTACGGTTGAGAGATTTCAAACTCATGTAGTGAATTTGAAATTTGTTCTTTTTAAATTTGGTTCAACTACATCTTCAGAACATTGTCGTATCTAAGTCTTGATATGACAGAAGCTTACTTAATATATTTATATGAAGTTCATACAAAATTAAATAAACCTTCGTATATAATATTTTAAAATATGCTATCAAATTATTTTACTATAAAATATGATAAATTCTTTCATAACAACCAATCATATGTAAACTATATTAAAGTAACTGCGCTTTGCAGGGAAAGGTCTAAATGAAAACAAAGATGAATTATTATAGATATAAATGTTTATAAAAAAATTTGTTGTCCTTACACACTAATAAATAACTCCTAATAGTATGTTTATATTTTGAGAAAGATATATAGAATTAACATAAAAAATCACTCATTTTCTTCCCAAAGTCCTATCCAACTTCATCCCCCTGAAAATTAAAGAGTACAATTGTTTATTATTCTTACTAGGGAAAATATTCATAATAATTAAGCTTAATTCTGAATGTATTCTAATTTCCACTCGGGTTTGATGAATACATATTTTTTGGTCAAATAAACACAATCTACAAACACTAAATAAAAATCTAGTAATCTTAAAGGACATTTATTTTATAATTTAATTGTTGATAATTTAAGTAATATCCCAATTTCTGAGTAAAAATTTGTTTTGTTTTTTTTTTTAACTTAAATACCTTTTCATATTCTTAGCTATGTACTTGTTACATAAAGTGAAGTTAGCTACTTTCTATTTGGTACTAGCAGGAGGTCTTATTAAGACTTGTTTAGTCTAAACGTAACATGTACGTGATGTACTTTCCAATCTGTTACATTATAAACATGTTAATTCCTTTATTATTTATAGTCATATAATACTCGATTGTAACCCAGAATAATTTTCAATTATTTTACAATTACTATATTAATATTAATAAAAAACCTACGTGGAGACGAAATCATCCAATAACCACTTTATCTAATTGTCAATTTGGCAGTTTTGACATTTACTGACAAAAATATAATTACACTTTTGTATATTCTGTGGTTCAAAAATACACGTGAAAAATGAACCCAATAGGCATTTGGTTTAAATTAAATTTAATGAAATCATTACTAAATAATTTAGTATTATTTTATTATGAAGTGGACACTTATTTGAAGATAATGTGTCCAACTTTTTTCATAAATAACTTGTGCTTAAGCACAATCATATAATGGCGAAAGAGGCAATTATGTTATTCTTATTTAAGAAAATAGATAAGTAATTAAATAAAAGCAATTTTTTATTAAAAATATGTATATATGAGAAACCATAGATATTTTGAAATCACAAAAAGACATTTCTTTTTGTTATAATTATTATAAGAAACATATACCTTATAAAAAAAGTTTTACAGTCGTTTATTTAGATTATCATATTCATTTTATGTTTTACGCCGCTTTATAGAATTCAATTATAGTTATTATTATTTTATCAGTTTCTATCTGTCCGAACCATCCCATACTATTATTGCAATAAAATTGCAAATTGTATATATCCAATGAAAGAAAGTGAAAAATACTATCAAAATAATGAAATAAAATAAAAATCCTCCTAAAAAAATCAATTTTACATTTTTTAAAAAAATATTTATTTAAAATAACTAATTAAATAACTTTTTATTTCAATGTGTGAAATATATGTCCTATATTATGTTTGTCTTTCTGGTAAAAAAACCTAGACTTATGAAAAAATATTTTATATTTTTTTATTTATATAATTTAAACTTAAATAAATAATATTCAAAAAAAGTGAATGTTTGAATTTCCGAAAAAGGATGGCATAGACAACATGATAATATTTTTTATCTTCAAAATGTAAATAAACAAAATGATAGGTTAGTAAAACATTAACTTTTACAATTAAGTTAAGCTACATCAAATTAAACATTGCATTTGATTCCAAACAGTGTTAATAACTTATATCATACACAATTATTTAATATTTTATAATTTATTTCAGACAATTTTTCATTCGCGCTTTATCGATACAAGCTTGCCAACTTCATAAAAGAGTTGTTTTCTAATTAGTCCACAGAAGAAACACATTTTGTAGAATCCAAAGACAATGACTTGTTAGTCATTGTGTTTTACAATAATATTAATTTTTAATTATTATTCGTTATTAACTTTTTATTTACTATTTTAGATTACATTTTAACTTTTTTAGCAATATATTTTTCCTACATTCCCTTCATTTTGTGACAGTTTTTCAATGATAGTTTTTTGTAAGCGTCTTTATTGTTATACACTAATGATATGAATTATTTTTGTGTTTCTATTTTTATCTATTTAAAATTTATACTATATAAATAATACAATTTTTCGATAGACACTTCAAATATTTTATATCTGTAAACGTCCATGGACAATTCTTGACGTCCGACGCCGTTCTTTCTCCTTTTGTTAAGTTGCCATTGCTGTTGCTAACGCCATTTTTGTTATACACTATAAGCTGCATAAGGTGATTTTTTTATACTCATAGGCGCATGACATAAGTGGGAAAGAGAAAGTTGTATAGGATAGTGTTACGAAGCTGCAACCAGTCTGAATATTTTCTTCAAAGCTTATTTACGACGTTTCTCATTGTCTATGCTATAGATACGCATCCAGAGCGATACATACGGTATAAAGCTTTTAGTGACAAATGTATAGTAAAAATGAAGGAAAACGCTGTACTTAAGTGGCAAAAAGTTTACAATCCTAGCGGCCCTCAACCACGACCCCGCCATGGCCATCGTGCGGTTGCCATAAAAGATTTGATGATAGTTTTCGGCGGCGGAAATGAAGGGATAGTTCATGAGCTTCACGTCTTCAATACCACCACGAATCAATGGTTTGTTCCTGTTACGAAGGGAGAGGTGCCTCCAGGATGCGCCGCCTACGGCTTCGTGGTCGACGGAACACGTCTTCTGGTTTTTGGCGGCATGGTAGAGTACGGCAAGTATTCCAACGATCTGTACGAATTACAGGCCTCCCGGTGGGAATGGAAACGTCTAAAGCCTCTGCCGCCCAAGCAAGGCCTACCACCATGCCCCAGGTTAGGTCATAGCTTTACTCTGCTAAATGGTAAGGTCTACCTTTTCGGAGGCCTGGCCAATGAGAGCGACGACCCAAAGAACAACATACCAAGATATCTCAATGACCTGTATACATTGGAGCTGTATCCGAACTCATCTATGACTGTATGGGACATACCCATCACTTACGGCCAGTCACCACCACCTCGCGAGTCCCATAGTGGTGTGAGTTACACGGATAAGAACACTGGGAAATCTTCGTTGATTATATACGGAGGTATGAGCGGCTCACGTCTCGGTGACCTGTGGGTGCTTGATGTGGACAGCATGACTTGGTCTCGGCCTGACCTGGGCGGCCCGCCACCACTACCACGCTCTCTACACACAGCAACAGTCATAGGACACCACATGTATGTGTACGGCGGCTGGGTGCCATTGGTTCCGGATGAATCTAAACTTGCAACACATGAAAAGGAATGGAAGTGCACCAACACACTCGCTTCTCTAAACTTGGATACCATGACCTGGGATTGCATTGCACTCGATAAGTTTGAAGAGTGTGTACCGAGAGCTCGAGCCGGGCACAGTGCAGTTGCCATCCAAACAAGACTCTATATATGGTCGGGCCGGGATGGCTATAGAAAAACTTGGAACAACCAGATTTGCTGCAAGGATCTGTGGTATCTAGAGGTTGGAGTGCCACCACAAGCCGGTCGTGTAGCACTTGTGAGAGCAGGAACAACTTCACTTGAACTCTGCTGGCCGGCTATGAATACAGTCACTACATATCTTCTACAAGTTCAAAAGTGTGGTAAGGTGACTCCCACACGGTTCCCGACGGCTACTGAACCTGTCGCAGCCCCTCCGCCCGCCTCACCTGTCTCCGGACAGCCAGATGCTGCCAAAGCCTTTGGACTCACATCACCCATTGCCACCGGACTTCCACCAACTCCAATCGACCTTCCAATAAGACCTGCGGCAGCCGCGGCCTCTCCCGCCGCCAATCCCATTGTATCAACTCCACAGAAAGTCGTATCCAGCGCTATCAAGATGCCCGGCCAAGCTGCCGTCAAAATATCTCCCAACACTCCAAAACAGACGTACCACGGGAAAACAGTTGTTAAATCACCGGCCGCAGGCTCTTCACAGCAGATAAAGGTCGCTGCGGTCACGCCACAAGGAGTGACTCGTATTGTAAGCGGAGTAGCGACCCCTAATACTGTTCGAGTGTCCACACCACAATCAAACGCGCAGATAGTGCTCGGCGCGGCGACAGGCTCGGCCGGTTCACCGAGGTTCGTTCAAGTGAAAACCGGCACCAACACTGGCGTCGTCAAACTAGGAAGCAGTAATGTGCCCGTGAAACTCGCAGGCAATGCGGTGCCATTAAAAATCGGTGCAGCCAATCTCCAAGGCAAAATCACAGCGAACAGTGTACAGAAAGTCGGTACTACGCCGTTGAAGCTAGGCGCTGGGAATGTAAAGATAAGCACGAGCAATGTGTTAGTGAAGACGGCGGGAGGAGTTCCCATACAAGCGGGAGTAGGGAGTGTGCAAGTCAAGGCTGGTGTGCCGGTGAAGCTAAGCGCTGGTAATCTGCCTGTAATTGGAAGCTACGGCGGCGCGATACAGATCGCAAGCGGTGCTATCGGCCAGCAAGTGAAAACACCAGTATACAAAATAGTAACGGCCAAATCTAGCGATCAAGGAACGGCTGTCACGAACGCCGTAACAGGATCCCCCGTACTAAGACAGGCTGGAGGAAACGTGATCATAAAGAAGACGCCGGGCGCTAGTTCACAATCAAGCACGTCGCCCCAATACGTGACGCTGGTGAAGACATCCACAGGTATGACCGTGGCGACTGTACCCAAGATGGCCGTTATGCAAAACAGACCAGCGACTCCGGCCAGTGCTGGCCAAGGAATCACTCCCGGAGCGACAATCGTTAAACTTGTATCAGCTAACTCAGTAGGCGGTAATAAGATCATAACACTACCACCTAACAAGCTACAGCTCGGCAAAACAGGTGTCGGAGGCAAGCAGACCATTGTTATCACCAAGTCAGCGAGTCAGTCACAACAGGGCCAGCCGCAGTGAAGCAGTTGAAGGCTCGGCTTGAGTGATACTATATTGGTATAATATACTAGGAATCATCTCTTGATTGTACATTAATATGAGGAACACTAAAGTGATGTTGAATGTGTGGTGATCATCTGACTGTTATTGGGTCTGTGTAGGGAATGTCCTCTTAGAGTTTTTACTGAAACATATATATTATTTACTCTTGTAATTATTTTCAAAGTTGTCTGTTTGCGTTAGGTCCCGTATCTGTAATACTGTGAAGTTGTTATGATAAAGGGGAATGTTTGTTGACCACCCTCTCCGAGCTAGATGTACTATTAATGGAAGTGCCTGCCGAGTAGCTCTGCTGCAGTGTAAGTAAAGTAGGGGGGCGAGGGGATGTAGACTATCACTTTTTAAATTTAAATCAATTAGATTTTAAAAGATTATTCAATTTGAGGTTTTATTTTATGTGTTTATAGATTTATTCCTAAATTAGAATATTTTTGTATGTAACGCTATGTATGGATAAGGAAAAAAAAACATAATATAATTTTTCATTAACTATATTAATCATGACCAAATACTGCCATGATGAACTAGACATTACATTTGTTTTATATTCAAAATTGTCTCATATGTTTGCTGTGCAATTATTTTGCTGTCTTCCTTGCATCTGGGACTTTCTGATACATGAATAGTAGCGATGGCAAGACACTACCGAGCTGAATAGTAATATATTCCTAATATACTGATGGCCGAGGTTCAGGCAGTTCACCAAGTGAACGCCTGCTCCACGGCCATCGTGATCTGTGTTAGATTTAGTTAAATCACAATATAATATTATATTATGCACTATTTAAGTTTTTTTATGACAAAACCATTGTTGATGTTTATATGGTTTGATTTTCATCTGTATGATGTTAGATGTACTCCATGGTCGAGGCTATTTTTCTATGACACCAGTTTTTTCAACAAAAAAATAGCCGCTGGCTAAAACAGATGACAGACTATGCCGATATATAAAGAATATTTTATCCAAATGTATGTAATTGAACTATAACATTGAATTATGTTAAATATGTGGCTAAAACTAAGATCTTTAAATTTCGTCATAGTCGAGAGTGGTGTACATGTGCCTAATAAAGGGAATGGAGGTTTTGGAAAGCTACAATATAATATATATTGACGTAAATGCAGAATATCACTACAAAGTTGTGAAAAAAAATGTCATACATATAAATTCTGCATTTGACTTAGTTTAAGCTAGTTGTATGTTAGTGTAAGTCGAAGTAAAGGAGGTATGAAGTGTAAATATCAGTAAGTAGATAAATTTGATGTTATAGTTTGTTCATATTATGTTCATTTGCTTGAATAAACGATTTGGATAAGCGAGCGTTTCATTTGCCCTAACGACTTGTGTTACATCATTTTTGGTAGTGTAAGCAATTAATTTGTTGCGTCAACTTAATTTTCAATTAAAAGAATACATAATTATTAATTACACATTATGTTTGCACCAATTTTCAATATATTTATTTCCTTTAAAATGTAATGTAGTGCCATTAAAGGTTTATTTTAATGTCCAAATTCCATTTACCTACTTCTCAAAGAAAATAATTCTTATTATTAAAAATAGCGCCCTCTCTTGTGAAACTTACGAACTACTAAATGTATTTAGTTGTTTAGTTACCAGAGGGCATAAATAAGATAACATTTATTGTTCTGTATAGGATTTTCTTAAAATGTTTATAAATTAAGATTCATGTTATTACTAATGATCGTAGGTAAAAAAAAAATTAATAAACTTGTGTTAAAGATTATAAATATGAAGTAAGTAAAGAATTTTTTGATACCATGAACCTTGGAAAACTTAAAGAAATCAAACCAAACAATATAAAAAAAATTAATAAGTACTTATTTTTATTAAATAATTTTGTATTTACTTATCTATTGTCCTTTTTATTTAATATGTATAAAAATATTGTACATTCTATATATCTTTATAATACTTAAAATATTTAGATTACTAAGTATCAGTGGCGGCTGTACCTTAAGTGCACTCGTGCGCTGAACCACCAATTCAAAAGATTTAAAAATTACAAAATAATACTTCATCTTTATTTTTAAATTATACCATTTTAATATTTATTTTCTAAACATACAAAAACATATAAAAAATTAAATTTCTCATTATAGTCAAAAAGTTTGTGCGCTTTACTAAACTAATATCTCGTGCGCTTCGGCGAGTGCACGAGGACTGCTAATACATCTTGTATGACAAACGCATTAATACGCCTGACGCTTGAGACAAAAGATAGTTCATAGAAATGTACCGAGTAATGAGTCGGTTCTCGAGCGCCGCACGAGGGCCGAAGATTACCGAGAGCACCCGATGTATGACGAATTGGAATTGAAAAGAATCAAAACTTTTTTCCGAAAACCATGCACTTGCTAAATGCACTTTCTATGCTTAGTATTGAAAAAAATAATTATACAAACAATACTCGATTTTAATAAAAAGGTGATTGAACATTTCGCTTCAGAAAAATGTCGTCGCATTGATTTAATATTTAAAAAATAAACATATTTTATATCAATTGCTTTTTTGTTACATTTTCTAATTTTAATATTTTATTAAAGTGCACCACCAGTTCGATAACCCACCAGCCGCCACTGCTAAGTATATCTAAAAATCTGTATATAATAAAAGGCTATGTATCAAAAAGTTTATTATTTTCTGTCCCTTAAAAACACTTTCAGGTTTAAATATTCCAGTACAGATATATAGTCATATTATTTACGTAAATAAATTAATTTTCTTATAAATAAATGTATACTTAACATAGAACTTCACTTATTAAAGCCTAATTATAGTGTACATATCACAATATAAAATAATAAATATCGCCTATGTCAACAAAAATGTTGACTTTATAGGCCATTCTTATTAAGAATGTATTTTGTTTGGGTTTTATTGACAGTATATATAATAGTTTAGTTTTCATCCAAGTAATCCGCAGGTTATAATGTTCATACAACTCTTCCTATTACTTTCTTCTGGTTTTGCTTCGATCACACGTTTTATCTTTTTACCGTTTGCGTCGTATTTCCTTTCCGCCTGAAATATAAAAAATAATGATGATAGTTATATTTAACTTAATTTTGACAGATTAGTAACAAGATTTTAGTAATATTTGTAAATGTAAATGGTTCTACAACTTAAATTGTACGATACGTATGAAGATAGTTTTTGAATCACTCACTAGATGGCGCTTTTTTGAAGGAATATACTAAAGCTACAAGAAAAATACCATATTATTTTTCATTTTCACCAAATATTACGCACGTACTGTAATAAAATATACGTTGAGTTGTTCGTTTATTACAAATATAAACATGCTCGCTGGTATAAATGTTTATATTCGGGTTCCTAAGTGTTTCATTGTGTTCCACATTCCAAATGCTTTAATATTGATGATTACTCTAAGTTCACTTAACATTAAGGGGCGATAACGTCGCGAGCTTCTGACATAACATTAATACAGTCGTAGAGTCGTATGGTCACTTAATGGAATATGCATATAACTGTGAAAGCAACACATAAAAAACTAATAATATATTAATTCAAATCAATTGAATTAGTAAATTTTTCTTATTATTTTATTTTTTAAATTATCAAGAATTGTTTGATTTTTTAAATAAATTATCATGAAATTTAATTTGCTTATTGACATACAGTCATTTTTATAATAATGATTGTTCTGTTATTATAATAATTTATGGTTTATACATACTATAAAAAAGCATGAAGGCCATATAGAGGGAACAACCTTAGGTTAAAAAACTTGTTGGAGATATATTAATTTAAAACTTATAATTTTGCATCAGTAACTCCAAATTAAATAAATATAACAAATTCTAAACAAATTGTATGTAATCTAGCTAGGTCCCTTTTTGGTAAAGCGACATCTATCATCAAGAATTCATTGGTACCTAATTAGCTCCTGAAGTAAAGTCAACCACACAAGTACACTTATAATATTAAGACGCCTAAAACAACTAGAACAATATCTTTTGTCTAATCTGTATTATTTGTTTCATAAACAAACTCACGTCAACAATTTCTCCTATTTTGTATTGCTCTAACATTTTGTAAGTTGATTTTGAATGTCCGGAATCATCGAAGGCCTTCGTCGCATCTTGTCCAGCCTCTTCTAAGATGACGTCTCCCGCTGGATGCTGGAATTATAAAATATAAATATTATATACAACATTACATATAAAAAAGTACATAATCTATCAATAATAAGTAGCTAGGTCTTAATACCTATATTTTTATTTAGAAGTCCTTGTAATATCAAATATAATCTTGGATTGACAAACATAGTCTTCAGTCTACATTGCATTTATAAATCAAGTCTCGAAAGGTCTCGAATTATGTATTAGTTCACAAATACAGTAATTAGTCTACACTGCATTAATCAAGTCTCGAAAAAGTCTCGTTTCTATTTTAGTAAGAAATAAAAACGTAAAAATATTATACAGTGTAAGAACCTAAGTTCGACGCAAGTCAAATGTTTGCGGAGCTTTTAAAACTGTGATGAGCGTCACTCGAAGCTCCTCAAAGCTCTAAGTTAACTAAAAGTTAGTTGTCTGTTGACTTAAGAACAATATCGTGTTCTCAACCACACATTCGTATCTTATTTCACATGCTTTAAAGTACTGCCCTTTGAATAATATGCTAATTTAAATAATCTAAATTATATGTATGTATGTAAAAGGTAACTAGATTTCAAAGTACTATTAAATAATTTTTTTTAACGATTATACTGGCACAAGTGAGGCACCTAATCTAATAATGTCGTCAGCCTATCAGAAGCCCACTGCTGAGAAAAGGCCTCTTTCACACATGGAGAAGGTTTGAGCATTAATCATTAAGACGGGTTGGTGATTTCAAACTTATAATTGTGAAACTATAAGTCCAGGTTTCCTCATGATGTTTTCCTTCACCGTATGTCAGTGGTGTCTAAATACTCTCAGAAAGTACATATGACTCCGAAAAATGACATTGGTACTTGCCAGGTTTGAACCCGCGCCCTCGGCAACGAGAGGCGAGCCCCTTAACCACTAGGCCACCACTGACTTCTATAATATTAGGAGAAAAATATCTTACGTCGTTTTTGAAAGAGCTAATACTCTTACTCAGTTGGACAGATTTTAACTAAACATAGCAAAGAACCACCGTACAGAAACTGGATTTCAAATAAAAAAAACGAAATGGGATAATCCGTTTAAGAGCTAAGATGCCACAGAGAAATACACATACAGACATACATATCGTTGTAATAACACCACTATTTATGCGTCAGAGTTGAAAAAATATATTAATGTTTGTAAGTTACATTAACACTATGGAATAGTTGGTGAAATTTGTTAATAATCATGAACTAGTATATTACCAAACAGATCTTGAAGTGAAGTCTTAAAGTTTCAACATAGTTTTATTTTAATTAATTTTCTACCTATATATCTTTAAATTTTAAAACTACGAGTTCAAAACTGTGAATGAAAGAATGAACGATTATTTATGCTGAAAGTTATTTACAAAAATTAAAATAAAATAAGATAATTCACAGAAAAATTGTACGGGGATGATTATTATTAACACTTATTAGACAAGCTCCAAGACTAAGAAAGATATTGTTAATATCTTGGATATACTTATAATAAAGAGCAGAAAATATACAGATATACTCGTATAATGTACGGATCTAAATTGCATTGTAAAGTGTTGCTGTACTATACTATAAATAGCATTTTAATAAAGTAAATAAATAATGGCCACACCATCCCATTTCTAAATAGAGAAAAACTACTATTTAAAATAGTAGTTGTAATAAAAACTATTATGTTTTGGCGGAGAGTATCCTAGTTGTAATTGAACAAGTGTGGTTCATGTTCAATCAGGAAGAGTCAATATATGTACAATATGGTCGTCAATATTCGAGTTCAGATTACGGCTTGCTAGATATATTTATTAGTTTGAGAACGCATATAAAGATATTTGTATCGTTACGTACATGACATGAAAATACTGAGTCTAAGTAAAATTATTCATTTATAAATGATTTGTATTTTAGTGTATAGAAAAAATCTCTGGATTATAGATTCAAGGCAATGATTTTTGTAAATAATATGTGATTATTATTTATTAAAGTTTTTTTAAATATAATGCAAGTTATTCAACCAAAAACAACATATGTCTATGTAAGTGTTTGTCTATGGTGAGTTTGCTATCACTTTAAATTGAAATTCGAAGATTTGTATGAAATTTACACACAAATAGAGTGTGGTGTAAGTAACATGATTCGTCCGTTACTTTTTATGAAATCCATTGTAATATTAAAAAATGTATTGACAAATTTTTCTTTTATTATGTGTAATGACGTTAAATAATTGCTATCTATATTAGTTTTATAATTTTAATATAACATATGTATCATTCAATATAAACTAAAGATTGAAAAAGCAAAAAGTACTAATTGATTAAAAGTTTTTTTTTTTAAATAATAAATATAAATGTTGGCAACACTACAAAACTTCAATAGCAAGAGAATTTCTGATCTATTTACTGTTATAAAGTTGAAAAACTTTTAAAAATTTCATTCAACTTCTTTCCTTTGCCTTGAAAATCGAGATGCGTTCGTAAACTTGAAAATATAACATTTATATTGAGAGTTTGTTGTTACAAAAATTTGTGACAAGTTACTTAGACTTTTGAAGTATTAAATATAAATTATAAAATATTTAAAAGTATACAATAATGTGAAATACTAAATTTGTTTTATGATTTCTGAATAGATATTTCGTTACTATTATGTAAAAACTATTTGGTGCATTTTATATAAGAATATTTTTTTAAAATACGAACACGTACCTACATTGGTTATGAAAGTGACAGTTTATAATTTTAACAACTATTAATAATAATTGATTACGTAAATAAAAGATATTCGATCCGATATATATATCAAAACATAATTTTTGGAAATAACCTAAAATATATGTGACTGGAACAGTTCTATATGGTGCATATCTTATTAAATTTATTACAGAAGAATTTATTAATGACCATAAATTCAATTTATTTGTAAAAAAAAATTACGATTAATTATATAATCCACCTTAATAAATTATAAGACTTAAATGTTACGTATTAAATAAAAATGTAAATATAAGTACATACATTACAATTTAAAATGTATTAATGTCCAATATTTGATGAATGTATAGATTGTTTAAAACATATCTTGTTTTATAACGATTATAGAATCATATCTTATCTTTGGAAGGAACGTTACTTGTACAATTATTATATAATAAATTTATCTCGTATTCAATACAAAGACAATTGCTGATTTTTATTAATTTTATTAGTGTTGATAAAAATCTGTGATTTCCTTAAAAAATCTCAGTATATTATATGTATATATGAAATACTTTAGGGAATACTTTTTATTTACGAAATAATGATTATGGATGGTTTAAATTATCTGAATAACCACCTGTGTCGGTTAGTATAAATAGAGGCGAGGGTACAGTTTACAAACAGTTCCGCTCGTAACGTTGGAGGGATCGGATGTCTTCGAAATAAGGGATTCATCGAACCGTCTACGAAGTTACTTTCAATAGACTGACAGCCTGACCACAATAAAAAAATGGGCATTGGTGACATCAGTTATGCTGACGTCATACTCCTAAGTCACGAGGGTTTTATTAACATCAACATATTAAATATATGTATTATAAGTTCCTCTTCTTAAAATGATTAAAAAAGGGTTTTGCCATTATTTTTTTATACATAAAATTTTGATATTCTTTAACTTATAAGAACCTATGAGTTTTCTTTTCCAAACTAAACGGTCATCATCACGTTAAAGAACTCAAAACTCCCTGTGTACAGTCAGAGAATGCTTACTCGTATTAAGCGCATAGATTTTATACTTGAGTACATACCCAAATATATATATGTAACGATTAAAACGACCCATTCAATTAAGTACAGCAAGTTAAAAAAAAGTATTTGAAATTTTTTCCTTGAAAATAAATTCTATGCATGAATTAGTTAGCATATTCATAAGATTAAGCTAAAAAACAAGCTGTCTAAAGAGCTTAAAATTATACACAAGCTGTCATACCTCTGGTATATAAGAAGTGACGTCATACACTGAGTCTTTGTACACTATCCAGACTGGATTCTTGCCACGACCGTTACGTGTCTTAACTTCAGCGAACGTGTACTTCTTGATCTCCGCCATTCTAAAAAAAAAATCATCAACTTATTGAATATTCTTTCTTCTACCTGGCGATTTCCCAGATTTAGCCATGGTCTGCCTTACATGTTGTAAATAGTTTTGGCTAATTGTTTTTATGACCGGCCGCCTGCCTGACATCAACCCTCTTTTTTTGGGAATAAAAAATTCACCTTATTGAATACTCTTATAAAATTAATTTGATTTTAATATGTAAGATTTTCGCGTGTACTAATTTGAGTGGAACTAAGGTTTTTGGTTGCTACGCGTTGTTTTATTGTACCCTGGAGACAACTTCATCTCGTCTGTCCGTAATCACGGTTGCTTTAAACTTTAAAGGAACCAAAACATCGGGATTATGTAGATGTGTATACAACGTGTAACGTAATTAACGCACACCCTCAAATACCCCAATGCGAATATAATGATATAAACGCAATGCATACACCAAATATTATTTATATGTGCGTTTGAATTTTTTATTTGTGAAATTAGTTATCCCAATTTCGTGCAAATAATATGGTCAGACACAATGTACTCCCCGCGCCCGCGCCCCTCTCTCCGAGTGCCGTCCGACAATAATAAGCAGTAGGTAATAATAAGTACACGAAATAACTACATACATTATGATTTTTCTTTCCATCACACTTTTCAAGCTTTAGATTGTTGACATTGAATTTTCTTTTTAATGTGAAGCCAATATTTTATAATTACTGATTTGTTAAATTAAATTTGTAAATAAGAATTATTAAACAGCTGATAACGCGTGATTTGATTAGACACCACAATACCTACGACAAAGTTAAACACAGTCGGCGTGTTTAAATGGTGTGTATCAAAATATTTACAATAATTTAAAGATCATAAACAAACTTACAGTTTAATTTGCACTCGCACGGCGTTGTCGTTTTAAAACATTTTCAAAATGTCCACGGCCTTGTTCAATGACCACACTTGACACTTTAATGACCGTTTTCGCAATTGTGGTTTTATTTTAGATAATACTGCAATGTCACTTTTCACTTTTACAAAGACGGTTACTATCTTATTTTTTAGTTCCACGGCACTTGTTGTCTCTGTGTTATAAACTAGCGATTTAATTCGCCCCCACAAAAAAAAAGTCGAGTCGCGTCAAATCAGCTGATCTAGGAGGTCAATGGACACGTGCTTAGGTATTTGATGTATTGAATGTTAGTGTACCGAAACGACACAGCGAAATGCGCGACTAAGATTTTATTTGCACTTTACACTTGACCTCTTTTCGATAAGGTGGACGCGGCGTAACTAACCCAAAACACATATTGTTGACTTCTCTGTTTAGTTATTATTACTCTGATTGCCGGGATTAGCCTGCCGTCTCGCTCTATTGTAATGTTATTAAGCCGAAGAAAGAAGGAGAAAGTAATAATTTTTGTATTACGCGGCTTTCTTTTATGCACTGTAGTGACCTTGCTGTGTGCCGGTTGTCGCTATGGTGTTGCGTGCGTAGTTATTATTAAATACTATTTTAGCCTTGAAATAAGTATCAGTTTTCTTTAATTGAATGATGATTACTAATTAAATATTTCATTTTAAAAATCTTAATACCCTGACTTACGATCCATTTTCGTTTCCATTAATTTTCGTTTCTATGAAGTGTTTAGATAACTGTGTGTAGGGTGACTATAATTTACTTAGTTCTATCTAAATTTGAGAAAAAAATTACCTACATAAAAAACTATCAAAATCGATCCAGTATCCGATTCTGATCAAACTACTTTCAGAGTGTGCGTTAATTATGTTACACGTTGTATAATAGTAAAATATGCCTAGTATGCCTAAAAAGTTTCTTTATATATTTATGATTTTTGAGGGCAAGCACTGAAATATTACTATGTTTTTCGTATTAACTTGAAGATTTGAAGATTTCATTAACATTTTACCTTAATCACCTCAGCTATTCTATCCATGACTTAAGTTGATAAATTAAGCCTTTCATATAAACGTCATAAATAGACAGAGATACTATTTAGGTTTTCTTAATAAAATCCATATCAATAATTACTTACTATTAAAGAAGACATAATAATGTAAAACACAATAGTATATGAACAATATTTCTTTTAATAACTAAGTTTTGGTCAACATTGAATGTCATTATATCTTCTAACAAATATTTGTCCTTACAATGAGATCTAAGACTTTCGTGTGTATTCATTGAAATGAAACTAGTATTTTCGGATTTACTACGCGATTTTTTTTAACTATAAACTACATACTCTCGAAATTTAGGTTACTTTACAAACTTTGATCACGGGCAGACGAGATGTGAGTGTGATAAAAAATCGCGTAGTAAATCCGAAAAATATTAGTTTCATTTTTCCTTAAAAAATACATAACAAAATGATGAGTAATACTTTGACACGTAAAATGTGATACAGAAACACGTGGCCTTTAAAATTAATATAATCTTTAGCTATCAAAAGTTATTAACATTTTTGTTTTGCTTACGTATTTAAATTAATCTGATTGATAACCTATTAATATCAAAATTATAAATAATTTATTGATTAAAATGATGATTGATAGACAAAATAGTAAAGTACATATAACGCTTAGATAAAGGATAATTAGACTGAGTTTTTTAAAGGCTTTGTCATTAATATATTCATTTTATTATATGTATATATATATTATAAGCATGTTTTAAAAGTAATATTGGTGTACATGTTATATTTATTTTTTCCTTATTTATAATATAGAAACAAATATATATTTCGATAAACTATTTCGTAAGAAAATAGATAAATAATGAAATTTCATGTTTTGCAGATGAAATAAAATATAACGATATCTTTTCTCAATTTCACTCACTTAATGAGATCGAAGATTATGGCGAGTATTCATTTAAATGAAACTAATATTTTTTTTACTACCTGTTTTATATTATTTTAAACATACTTCCGAAGTTATTGTAACTGCTTAAACAATCATTATTTTACGACAGTTATTTTCTTCATTTAAAACAGTATGTATGAATGACAAAGGATTAAAGCATAAACACGCAACACAGCTTTCATATTTAAAATACCTTTAAATTTTTCTACACTGTTAATTTGACGTGATCTCCTTTGAATGTTTAGTCTTAGTTTACATCATCACACTGAATACGTATGTTTTTGATGCATAAATCTTGCACATTCTTCTTCTTCCTGGCAACTTCCCAGCTTTAACCAGGGTCAGCCTTATATGTATGTTGTGAATAGTTTTGGCTAATTGTTTTTACGACCGGCCGCCTGCCTGACATCAACCCTCTTTGGGAATGCATCAATTAGTGATGTTTAAATACTCTTAGAAAGTACATATGACTCAGATAAATCACATTGGTACCTGCCAGGGTCAGGATCGAACCCGCGCCCTCGTGCATGAGAGGCGGGCCTATTAACCACTAGGCCACCACTGACTTGCACATTATAATATTAAAATAGGTTATTTAATAATAAATATGAAATGCTTAATATGTGTGCTAAATATATGCCTTATGAGCTTGACGTATTTGCTGATAAGACTAATATAAAAAAAAAAATCTTTTCGATACATTTTACACTTCATAATACCTATATGTATGACTGGATTCTATTTTAATGATATATTTAAAAATAACTAGAATGACATCGCTATAATTAAGGACAATATAATATTATTGTATATACAAATGTAAGTGAGGATAAAATTCACACATACGAACAAGTCTATACATATAAAAAAAATATCTGGGTGTTATTTCAAAGTAACTGTTTTCACGTCTTCCATTAAAATTATTTACAATTTTTGTCTATGTAGTTCTCTGTCGTTTATGTTTGCCTGGTACTTAAAAGAGCTGAACTGATTTTAAAACAACGTTTACTAGTAAAACGAATTATTTTATTTTTTGAAATATCACAAATGTGAAATAAATTACTTTTTATACTGGAAAATAAACTAACATTATTATTTTAATAATACGTAAATTTTACTCAAACGTAACTATGGAAAATAGTGAGTATGAAATAATAAATTTATTTATATTACACTGAAAATCTTATTTTCTGCAAAATTACAGAAAAATAAACAACCAATTCATAATTTTAAACCATTTTTTTTTCCTACTTAAATTATTAATAATTTTTTTATATATTTTTTTTTTTTTTTTTTTTTTTTTTTTTTTTTTTTTTTTTTTCTACGAGGGGAATCTTTTAAAGACTTCCTGCCGCGGGGGAAACGCGACAGGGGCATGTGGGATTTCCACCCACTAAACCACCTCGACGTTCTCTGCGCTGTGCGTAGACTAGTGAGCGGGAACGGCAAGCCATACTTCCGCTCACTACGCACGAGTCCCGAAAGGGACTCCGCCATCGGCAGGGGTATCAGTGGCTGACCACACCACCCCTCCGACTCAAGAGCAGCGTGCCGGGAACGCCAAACACGCCGCTCTTCCTCTAGCCTATGTTACCCGGACGCCGGTTCCCCACCGACGCCCGGAGGCTTCCTCACTGGGGAGGCAGGTCGCGAGCATAAGCCCGCTGCCTTCGACCCAGCCTACGTCGGCGCAGCGGCGCCGAGGAGGGGTCGTCTTCCCTCACTCGTTCAGCAGCCTCCTTCTGCAAGATGACTCTCTCGCTGAAGTCGGCCACCGCCTGCCATGCCCTCTCGCTGCCGACCATGGCCTGGACCACTGCCGGCAACGAAAGGTCTGCGCCAACCACGCGGATGAGTTGGCTCCGCTCGGATATCCACGCTGGACATTCCATCAGTGTGTGGTCAGCGGTGTCTTCCACGCGACTGCAGTGGTGACACGTCGCTGTCGGCTCTCTCCCGACTATATGGCACAAATACCTCCCGAAGCAACCGTGCCCCGAGAGGATCTGCACCAGCCGGAAGGTTAAGGATCCGTGTCGGCGGTCCACCCACTCCATGAGGAGCGGGCGAATAGCCTCCACGGTTCGCAACCCGGCCACTGGCTCAGAGAGCCGTTGCCTCCACCGATG